CCCTAGTCCTTCTTTTCACCAAACTAGACATACCCAATTCCTGCAAGTATTCTTTATATGTTTTAGCCTAATCATCTTTGTTGCTCCTCTCTGCAATTTTTTTAGAGTCTCAACATATTTTTTACATCGGGGCGACCAAAACTGGATGATAGTCGTGATAGTCATAAGTGTGAAGATCGGTCATAAATCATGCTTGTCAGTGCATCATAATTTTGGAATGATGGCTAAATAAATGATTGGAAGTCGAGGACTACCTGTATAGTGATTGTTCTGACCCAGCTCCTCCCTCTCCCTCCCCCCCTCTCTCTCCCTCTCCCTCCCTCCCTCCCTCCCTCCCTCTCTTTCTCTGACAATTCCATTCTGTTTTCCCCCTCAGAGCTCTCAGGTTGCTTTGATGCTGACGTTGATTCCCACACCACCTCCTCCTCCTCTGATTTGGCTGCTGGGGAGGGGGGTGGGGGAGGCGGCACCTGACAGGCCACAACACTTTCACTTACAGGTCTGTCCGGCTGGGAGAAGAATAGTTGTCTGCCACATCTATTCATCTCCACCCCCTGGCTTTTATCCCCAGAGCTAGGGTGGGGCTTTGCTAGCAGCGGTGGCTCTTCTGTCCCAAGGACCGGCCCATAGATTTCCACTGCTCTCCTCTCCTCTGCCTTCTGTGCATCCTCGCATCAGGCACTGGACCCAGCTGTTCCTCCTCTTCCTCATCAGCCACCTCCAGACCTGGGGGCTGTTGACTCTCCATCGGAGGGCTGATGGACGGCCCAGACTCCTTCTCTATCTCTCTCTCTCTCTCTCTGTGTCTCTCTCTCTCTCTGTGCCATTCCCTCTTCCCCCTCGGAGCTTCAGGTTGCCTGGATGGTGATCCTGACTCCCACACCTCCTCCTCTTCCTCTGATTTGGCTGCTGGAGGGGCTGACGGCTGACAGACCACAACAATGCTCCTTACTTATTTCCCCACCATAAATATTGGGATCAGATCTTCTGCCAAAAAAAAGCACAACCTCAGGTCTGCCCCAATATCTGCAGCAATATCTGCTCCTTTTAATTGTTTTGACCCTAATTTCTGCAGTGTGCACCAAAGGCTTCCAGCAATTTGAAGAAAAAAAAAAGAACCCCAAAGAAACATATAGCTATGTTAGAACTCAAACTTGTGTTCTCTCAAGTCTGATATAAAATAATATACAGTTAATCCTGGACTTACAACAGTTCATTTAGCGACTGTTCAAAATTACAACGGCACTGAAAAAAGTGACTTAATGACCGTTTTCCCCACATTTTAATCAAAATTCAGATGCTTGGAAACTGACTCATATTTATGACAGTTGCATTTTGTGACCTTCTGACAAGCAAAGTCAAGAGAGAAGCCAGGTGTCCTTCAGCAACCTTACTACTAACTTAACTGCAGAGATTCACTTAACAACAGTGGCAAGAAAAAGTCCTAAAATGGAGCAAAACCCACTTAACAAATGCTTCGATTAGCAACATAAATTTGGGGCTCAATTGTGGTTATAAGTCACCTGTATACATGCTACAGAATCACGTATGATTTGCCTGTTGTTCTACTTGCAAACTGTAATTACTCAACAGAGTGAAGGCTTCCTGTTTTATTCTTAACTTTCCTGCTTAAACACGAAGGAAAGAAAATTGGCCCCCAGGTGACTGTAAACTGATTGGCTGAATTTACCCCTGACTCTATTTTTATCAAGACAAAAGAGGCTTCAAATACTTTGCCAAGTTGTTTAAACCAGAGTCTCCCAGAACTGGGAAAATGTCGCAGCATTGGGTCAAAGTGGTTTAGGGCACAAAAACGCACAACCCCCCGACCGAATCAGAGTGAGAACATTTAAATAGACTTTAAATGTTTTGCCTACACATGGAAGAGAAGAAGAAAAGACTTTTTGATAGGTCATGAAGGAAAAAGTTTGGAGTGCGCTGACTTAATTCCTGCAGGATTCTCTACCAGCCTCGATTTAAATTGTAATGGTTTTCTATTTATCTTTTTTATTTTTATGATTTGTACTACGCCCAGAGTTGCCTGATTGGGGAGACAGGGTGGCTTGGAAATTTAATAAATACATAAAAAATAAACAAACCTCTGAGCCTCCCTCCCACCATGAAAAAGAACACACCTTTGAACAGTTGTCTTTTCTCTCTGTGTACGCTCTACACCGTTTTTGTGCTCAACCCCACAACAAGAGGATTGTCCCTAAAACCCCATCCTCTTTCTAAAACCTAGTTCATCTATTTCCCTCTTTATTCCTTGGCTGCTGCTTCATTTCTGGAGATGCTAATCAGATCCTCGCTCCTGCTCCACTCTTTTCAGCTCCAGAGAATTAATTTTTTCTTTTGCTCACTAGCCCAGCTAAAACCTTTTGCGTTTTCTCTCCCTGCTGCAGAGCTGTGTGCTGAGTAAGAGGAGACTTAGGAAATTACTAGCATTTCAATGTCCCAACGCTAAGGAAGTTGGGTGTTGTGCAATGCCATTGCTGGGGGGAAATTTTCTTCTAGAATAGAATAGAATTCTCTATTGGCCAAGCATGGTTGGACACACAAGGAATTTGTCTTGGTGCAAATGCTCTCAGTGTACATAAAAGAAAAGAGACATTTGTCAAGAGTCAAGAATCATCAGGTACAACACTTAGTGATAGTCCTAGGGTCCAATAAGCAATCAAATCATACTAGGAAACAGTCAATATAAATCGGATATATGCAACATAAATTGGATATATGCAGCCATACAGTCACAAGTGGGAGGGGATGGGTGATAAGGAGTGATGAGAAGATTAATAGAAATAGTAATGCAGACTTTGTAAATAGTTTGTAAACAATGTTGAGGGAATTATTCGTTTAGCAGAGTGATGGGAAAAAAAAACTCCCCTTGTGTCTAGTTGTTCTGGTGTGCAGTGCTCTATAGCATCATTTTGAGGGTAGGAATTGAAACAGTTTATGTCCGGGATGTGATGCAATGCCTCCCCAATTTCAAAAACCAAGGATGTATCAGCCAAGCTCCTTCAAGATGATGGGAGCCTCATCTATGATTTCTCTAAGGCAGACCTGAGTATTTTAGATATATCTGAGTATATCTGGCCTTTTGGCTGTCCTTATCTGGCCCAGGTGAGATCAATTGGAAATTAGAAATTGACTGCAAATAAGATGTAATGATATGTATTCTTACCAATAGAAGCTAAGCCAAACTGTATAATTTATTGCTTTTAATAAGGTACTAAAACTAATATTGAGAAGAGTTAAGTTCAGTCTATGGCTTCAGCCCTTCACAACTGTTCCATCATCAAATGTGGCTCCTTGGGAAAATGAATGACCCACCCCTGCTCTAAGGGGATACACGTCGAGTAAGGTGAAGTTAGATAATGGACTTATTCTGAGAATGGCTTGTTTTTCTCTATCTAAAAGGCAGCTTGATACATTAAATCATCAATTAGGCATGGTTCACGAGCTAGCCATTTTATCCATTTTTTAGCAATGTGTTTTTCCAGTTCAGGAGCTGTCCATTTTCAAGCAAGCCAACGCTAAAAAGTTTGAAATGAGCATCCATTAAAAATGTAATCCATTCTTGTGTTATGCTTGTTGCTGTCTCCTCTGCTCGGTTATTTAAGATCCTCATTTTTATCCAATTAAGGCTCCTACTGATTAGTCAGGACAGGGCATTGGGGGAATTTTGATTAGTTCATGCGCATTGGGGGAATTTTCCATGTATTCAAAGCATATAAGAGAACCGGTGAGAGATTGGGAGGAAAGGACACTATTGTTACTAAGAGGGAAAGCAATTTGAAATGGAGACCAACTTTCATGAAAACAAGTTTTCTTCATTCAGGGAAAAAGCAGGGGAGAAGAGAAGACAAGAGAAGACAAGAGAGGAGAGGAGAAGAGAGAAGAGAAAACAGAAGGAGAGAGAAGAGAAGAGATTCCTTATTGGCCAAGTGTCATTGGACACACAAGAGATTTGTCTCCAGTGCATAAGCGCTCAGTGTACATACAAACAACAAATATAATCATAATGATGATGCCCATAAGAGAAGATAATAGGAAAGATGAGAAGGACAATAGTAAAATAGCCCTACTGCATGGATGGAAATCCTTAGGCACAAGACAGTGCTGTGGGAATTAGGTGTTTAGCAAAGTGATGGCATGGGGGAAGAAACTGTCCTTGTGTCTAGTTGTTTTGGCATCCCGAAAGGAGGAGTTGAAACAGTCCATGATGTGAGGGGTCCTCTTTCTGACCAGTATATACGGTAGGTTCTCAATGGAAGGCAGGGTACCTTTATTTCTCACTCTCTCCCCCCACCCCATTTCCCTCTGATTCCAGCACAAGGTCCGTTGCTAAATGAGCACCAAACATTCCAGCCATGCCTTCATGGCCAACGCAGAATAGATTCTAAAGTCAGCATTCATATAGGGAGATCTTACGCCTTCCTGGCTGTTGCTAAGACTGTACTCACTCAGGGAAGAGAGGTGGTTAGGCATACAGGGAGCTGTAATCCCATATGATTTGGAGATGATAAAAATACAGAGAGTCCTCAACTTACAACTGTTCATTTAGTGACCATTGAAAAAATAGACTTACGGACATTTTTCGTACTTATGTTTGTCAGCAGCATCTCCGTGGTCACATGACTAAAATTCAGACACTTAGCAATTGGCATGTATTTATGACATTTGGGCTATTCCAGGATCATGTGATCACCTTTTGCAACCACCCCAGCCTGCTTCTGATAAGCAAAGTCATTGGGGAAGCCAGATTTGCTTAACGACCAAACTCAACTCAACCCAACCCAACCCAACTCAACCCAACCCAACCCAACTTAACTCAATGGAACTAAACTAAACTAAACTAAACAACTGCCATGATTAATTTAACTGTGGCAAGAAAAATAAAATTCACTTATCAACTGTCTTGCTTAGCAATGGAAATTTTGAGCTCAACTCTGGTTGTAAGTCAAGGACTCCCATAGCATAATATGAGTTTTGCATCCTACCTGTCCACCTGGACTTCAACATCTCTCACTCCCATCTTGGCTTCAGCATTGCCATTGAGTTCCTTGCTGTTGCCCTTCAGAAGATCCAGAACGGGTTCAATCTCCTTGAGCAGTTCACTGTTCTCAACGCTGCCATTCAGGCAATGGTCAGGAATATCCTGGTTTCCTTTCAGAGTGTCCTTGGCCACGTTGGTGGCTACCATGCCATTGACGTGCACCAGGTTTTCTTCCCCTTGCCCATTCTCCCGGTTACACCGGGAGCTGACCGAGCCCCCCATGCTGCGTTCTTCCCCCTGTTGCTTCTCTTTGGTGCGGATGCTCGGAGCAGATGCCTGATCGCCTACTGTTGGCGTCCCACACAGAGGTCTGGTGACACGGATGGTTTTTGGTGTCCCGTCTCCAGTGAAAGTTGTCTCTAGGTGAGTGGTGAAGCCCTCGGGGCCTCTTAAGATGAGAACAACGTAAGTTTCCGAAGCGATGCTTCTAAGGACTCCTAAGGCTGTGTCATAGTTCATGTCAACCAGGGGCTTCCCATTGACCGCTAGGATAATATCTCCCGACTGAATAAGGCCACTTTGTTCTGCTGCCCCTCCTCGGATCAAGTCAGAGATGATCACAGGTGGCTTGTTGACTCGTTCCTTCACCAGGAACCCGAGGCCACCCACCTTCCGTTTGAAGAGCTTCACCGAGATTACATTCGGCTGAATCTGTTGGACACTGAATACATTCTCTTCCATTGTAGTCCTGAAATCGTCCAGCCCTCGAGATCAGGATCTCACACAGTGTAGAGATAGACCCTCAGTAAGTCCACAGCTGAGCCACCAACCTCTGATGAGCAAGAAAGAGAAAGAGCGCAAGGCTTTGTATCTGTTTGCAAGCTGGGGAAAAGCCGGCCTTCTTTGGGGAGCTTCACCTCTTGATAAAAGATAAATTCATAGGTCATGCAGCCATCTCTGCAGATCTGGCCCAGATCATTCCCTAGAAGGCAACAAAGCCATCCCTCCTACATGAAGTGAATGGATAACTACGTCAAACATCTTCTGGCTCAACAGATGGCTGAAGAAGACGTTGCTCGCCAAGCATTCTTCGGTGTCTGGGCACATGGGATTGGCTTCACATCATCTTTACCTACAGAGAGAGGGTGGGAGGGAGAGACAGAAAAATAAAAATATCAGACTGGCTTAGACATTGGAGATGGGCAAAACATACTAAACCAAGAATATCTAACACAGCAGAGCAGAATGCGTTGTGAGGTTGTTGTAAGTCACACGTTTGTGGTGAAGTAATAGAATAGAATTCTTTATTGGCCAAGTGTGATTGGATACACAAGGAATTTGTCTTTTGCTCTCAGTGTACATAAAGGAGAAATAAAATACATTCCTCAAGATACAACACTAAATGAGAGTCATAAGTTACTAATAAGCAATCAAATCATACTAGAAAACAAATAAAACAATATAAATTGTAAAGATACAAGCTATATCCATATAGCTTGTATCTTTACAATTTATATTGGGAAGAGATAGGTACTAGGACGAGAAGAAAAATAGCAATATTGTCTTAGTAAATAGTTTGACAGTGTTGTGGGAATTAGTTGTTTAGTAAAGTGATGGCATTCAGGGAAAAACTATTCTTGTGTCTAGTTGTTCTGGTTTCCAGTGCCCTATAGCATTGTTTTGAGGGTAGAAGTTAAAACAATTTATGTCCAGGATGTGAAGGGTCTGGAGATATTTTCACAGCCCCCTTTTTGACTCATGCAGGATACAGGTCTTCAGTGGAAAGCAGGTTGGTAGCAATTGTTTTTTCTGCAGTCCTAATTATCCACTGAAGTCTGTGTCTGTCTTGTTTAGTTGCAGAGCCAAACCAGACATTTATAGAGGTGCAGATGACAGATTCAATATGAAGTAAGTAAGAATAAGTAAGTAAGTAAGTAAGTAAGTAAGTAAGTAAGTAAGACAGACTAAGAAGTAAGAAGACCTTATTCCCATGCAGTCTGTCTCTTGGTCCAAATTTATTTGTAGAGTTTAATTTTTTTTAATTTGCATAACTTTAATATTTTAAGTGTTTTTTCTATTTCTGTAAACCTCCCAGAGTCACCTTCTAAGAAAGATGGGTAGCTTAAAATTTTAATAAACAAATAGAAAAAGTCGAGGACTCTGAGCTCCAGTATTTTGGGTAGGAGGCAAATGTTTCTCCTTGACTGCATCTCAGCCAGGTTTCACCACCAAAGATTCAAAAATGTGTTATTTTTCATTTGAATAACATTGCTTATCATGTTTTTTTAAGTATTTTTGAGGTCAATTATAAGCTTCTGGGGTCAGCTTTGTACGCTCAGTGGTGGGTATCAATAATTGTAATAAATAATAATTAGAATGAACCTTGGAAAATAACAGTGGGATTTCAATGCAAAAACCTTGTGAGCTAATTAGCAGGTACTGTATAACGAACAATAGGAAATCTGGGCCAACAGAATGTTTGACTTAACAGAGGATAAGGTTATTAATTTTCACATTTAAAAGAAATGCACCAAGTTTGAGGCATGATTTGCTTTGGGGATATAATAACAGGTTGCTACATGGTAGAGGATTAGATTAAAAGAAAGTCTTCTATTGACGAAAGCAACCATAATTAAATCAGACTGTAGAGTAGAAAATGGAATAACAAAGTTGGACCTTGGAAGTCTTCTACTCCAACTCCCTCCTCAAGCAGGGGCCCCTATACCATGCCAGACAAATGGCTATCAAATCTCTTCTTGAAAATCTCCAGTGTTGGAGCATTCACAACTTCTGGAGGCAGGCTGTTCCACTGGTTAACTGTTCTCACGGTCAGGAAATTTCTCTTTAAAATTCGAGGTTAGATTTCTCTTTGATAATCTTCTATCCATTGTCTTTCGTCCTGGATGATACATTCCGATCTCTTACTCTAATTTATTGGTATGGGCCCTTGCTGAATGCAAAAAGCAGCAGATAAGCAGCTAATTAGCTTAGATGAAAGTCAATAGGTACGGCTTTTTAAGACCGTGTGAGGCAAAGATGGTGAAGATGTCAAATTATACAGAGCTGCCAATCGGTATTGTCAACCTATTTTGGAACCGAAAACCCTTTTGTGAAAGTTAAAAGAGTAATATGATGAAGTCACCATTCTTGAACAAATGGGAAAGGGATTAGGGTGCTGTCCAGTGGCTGAATGTGAACAAGAAAAGGGAATAATGCCGTAGTAGGGAATACAAATAGCTCAGGATTAAATTGTTGGCTTCTTGGTATTCTCTGAGCTTGGTTGTTTTCCTGCAGATATTTTGTTATTTGGCTAGGCAACAACTAGCACTGATGATGTTACCTAGTTTGATAATGAAACGTCTGCAAGAAAACAACCAGACTTAGAGAGCACCAAGGATTCCATAATCCTCCTCCTCTTGTACACCTCACTCCCTTCTAGCTGTGATATGTTACCTAGTTGGGTAATGAAACATCTGCAAGAAAACAACAAAGCTCAGGGAGGACCAAGGGCACCTCATCTCAACTCTACTAGTCAACATCAACAGTGCATGGAACGTAGTGGTAAAACATCAGCCTGAAAATGACCAAGCTCAGAGGACACCAAAAATCCATCACAAAAACAGCTCTTGAACTGGGTCTTTCTATCTACAACATGAATTTAATTAGGAACCTCTCAAAAACCAAGAGGATTTTTTGGGGAAGAGAGAAACATGTGTTGAGTTGGATGCATTCTTTCTGCCATAAAGAAATTGTTGGAGCTCATCCCATCCACCTGTTCCTATGGAAGTTTCTTTCTTTTCCGTCTCAACTTACAAGAGAGAGAGGGGGAGGAGAGGAGGGAGGGAGGGAGAAAGGGAGAGAAAGAGAGAGAGAGAGAGAAAGAAAGGGAGGGAGGGAGAGAGAGGGAGAGAAAGAGGGAAAGAGGGAGAGGGAGAGAGGGAGAGGGAGAGAATGAATAACTGTCGTCCTTCAAGGAAGTGTGTTTTTATCTATTCCCTAACAATAGCTTCAGGCATATGGCCTCTTCTGAATAAAGAATCTTTCCTTGCCCATCTTTTGCCTGACATCTGCTTGGTTTAAAAATGAGGGAGAGAGAGAGAGAGAGAAAGAAAGTTTTCTAGAAATCTGACATGTGATGGTCTCTAATAGGGCTGCATCATGAGCAAAAAGTGTTGATGGGCAAGTGTTTTTGATTTGTGGCTGGTTCATTCCGTCACTAGGCTGGCTGATCAGGAAGAATATCTGACTGATTTGCCCATTAATTGGAATTTCTAACAAGGCAGGTAGACAGGAATGGCCTTCGCTCTGGGTTTGGGTACACAGGACAAATTGGACCAACTATCTTGATGCCTATGGAAGGTGGCATCTGTTGGAGAGGATTGAAGTTGAAAACAGACTTGAAGGAAGAGGAAAGGCTTTGGATTGTTGCGAACAGGATGATGGGGTCCTGGATCCTTCCTGTCCACATCAGAAATGCTACTGAAGTAGGCAGGAGGACTAGACGGTGGGGTTGAACTGGCACGGAATTCATTAGAACATTCCTTCTCAACTTCAGCAACTTCAAGCGGTGTGCACTTCAACTCCCAGAATTCCCCAGCCAACATCACCAAAAAACAAAACCCTGAAACAGATTAAACATTGGACCAACAAGGCCAACCTGATAAAATATGATTAAATTTATGAAGCCATAAAACAAAAGATTAAGCAACAAATACGTCAGAGGGGATTAAGACAAAAGATTTAAATAAAGGCCATTTTTCTATATTTAAAAAAAAACCAATAAAAGATCATGAAAAGACCAATAAACATAATAATAATAGTAATAAAGACTTTCAGATGTCTGTGCTTTGGAGAAGAGTGGAGAATGTTCTGGTTTTTGAGGAAGAGAGGTGAAACGAAAATTGCTGCAGCAATCATGTTTTAGTTTCCAAGGACAAAAATAACAAATATATACTTTTTTTGGGGGGGGGTTAAATAAAGTACAGTTTTTTATGATATACGAAGTCTATGAATTGCTCTATCTTAAATGATGATATGATCCTAGTTTGTTTAAGGTAATCACCATAATTCCCCTATTCTGACATGGGGAAATATAGTTTTCTTAGACAAATGAAAGTTTGACTTGCAAGCTTGATCACATACCATCAGGAGTCACGTATCTTATTGGTCATCAGTAAATTTACCTATGATTTATTCAATAAAAACAAAAGAGCAACTTGAATTTCCAGAAGTGATGGGATTCAAAAGAGTTATTTTCCGATTGCTTTGCTGCAGTAAAGGTCAGACTGAATTCAACATTAACACAACAACACAGGTTCAACACGAAGGCACCAGATAACTTGGACCATTTGTGGCAACATAATGATTCTGAACTGATGACATGCTTAACTCCACCCCCACTCTGTCTGTTCTTCTACAGTGACTCCTCAAAATGTGAATTTGAAAAATATTGGTTCACATCTGACTAATGTTGACTGGTTTTGAGTAAAAGCTGGAAAACTTTCCACCATCTGGATTCCAGATAACTTCCAGATTTTGGAAGAGTTCTGTTTATCACTAAGTCCAATTTGGACACCCTGAAGTACTGGGTCTGAAGATAAGAGCATCATTTCTAGAATTGGTTGAAAGTGAGATTCAGGTAAATCCCATGTGTGAAATAGACATTGGCAAATTTGATGCTCAATCAGTCTTCTATTTCCATATGAAAGAAGAAGCTGTCAACATTTAAAAAAATTGCTGACAGTTTCCATAAAGAACTGAAGCTCCAAACCATAAGACTGGATGACATTATAGGAGGCATATAATTTTCTACCCTTCCTCAGTCAAATGTGCATTTAGATTCTAATAAGCAATTTTCGTTCTTTAAAAAAAAAGACTTTAATAAACCCACTGCACCTTTGCCAGTGATAGCATTCATCATACAATGCCCCAAAGGCATAAAAAATGGTTTAAACAATAAAAAATGTTCTTATCCGGTTTGATGAATGCCTTGTTGTATTGCTAGATGTTGCATCTAATCTTTTTGGGGGTTTTCTGATCCACTGCTGTGGTTTCTTTCATGGGGAAGAACAGTGAAAAAATGAAATTATTCACAGCAACAGGAATAAGAATAACAACTTAGAATAGGCATGA